TACCCCTTTCTGTGAGGCCCTATGTGTAAGCTATGGGGCTGAATCTCATAATAATCTTGTGGTTAATAAGTTAGTTGTACGAAGCCATAGTTTAACAAGATATTTCCTACTTCTGTTGCTGCAACTGCTGCTGCTGCTACTACTATTTCTTTTCTTACTACTACTACCACTACTACTACTATTACTACGACTTCAATTGCTGCTGCTGCTGTTGTTACTACTACTATTACTTACACCACCACTACTATTACTACGACTACTTCCCCGTGTGGGTATCATGGTCCCGTTTTACGGAAAACAAGAATAGACCCACGGCCTGCCCAAAGCATTTGTAAGAGGGGTTGACCAGTTGGGAAGCTTCCTTCGAAGTCGGAAAAAACAAGTACATCTGCCTGAGAGGAAGGGAAACCAAAAGCCTACAAAGCAAATAACAAAAACCCGGAAAAAAAATGTACACGAAAAAGCTCAGTTTCGGAACCCGGAAAATAGAGCCAGAAGTGGACGAACAACCCAAAAATTTAAAACCCCCGGAGTTTCCCCTGGCGAATGCGAGGAAAAAGAAGACTACGAAATATTACTGTGCTGCTGCTATACCACTGCTTTACTACCACTATACGATTTGCTAAGGGCACTACTACTACTGGGTTTCTGTTATTTCCCTACTGGTACTGCTGCTACTGTTTCTAATTTTGCTGCTACTACTAATGGGCAGTGTTGGGTACCCACTACTACTACTAGTGTTTTTGCTACTGCCCACTACAAATTTTTCAGTGCTACTTTAATTTGGCCCCCAAATAGTCTGCTTTTTCTGAATTTTTAAAACCCGCCCCCCCCCCCAAAAACCCTTTTTTTCCCTGGCCCTATTGTATTGGGGGGCTTTCACGCAGTTAGGGAAAAAACAACAAAAAAACTCAGGCCAACCATTTTCCTCTTTGCCCTTTTCCGAAATCTTTCCATTCCTTATAGTATCATCCAATTTTTCTCTTCTCCTCTCCTCCCCTCTCTCTCTCCTTTTCCCCTCTCCTCTCTCTCTCTCTGCGTTTGGGGGTTTTCGTGTGGAATGCATGTATATTTTTAAAAAACTACATTTGGGAAAAGATGCGTTTTCATTTTTACTTCACACTCACATTAAACAATTCAACGGAAGCTCCAAAAAGGTGGGCGATAGAGCACGCTCTTTGATCCTTTATTCCCCAGCCCTTTTGCAGCCCTTTGGTTTTCCAAAAGTACTGGGGAAACCTTTTCCCTTTTTGGGAAACCAATTTCAGGGCGAGGGGGGGGTCATGATGCAGGGGAAAAAATATGGTCTCTACAATAATTCCAAGGCTTTTTCCTGAAAAAAGGATGAGAAACTAAAAGGGTTGTGTTCTTTAAAAACTCTGCTTTTTGACAGTGAAACTTGGTCAACTTAAATTTGCCCCAGCAGACAAAAGGGCTAAAAGGCTTTTACGGGGCCCAAAGCCCCAAAAAGAATACTTAGCATTAAGTGGCAGATAGGTTTTACAAAAAGGGTCAAAAATTCTGAAAAAGGGAGTAACCCAAAAAGGTTTTCTCCATTTTAATTCTAAAATTAAGCCTGAGGGCCGAAAATTCCCGGGGCAGTGCACGAACCCCTAGCCCCGGCGAGGATACCCCAATATTATGGTAGGGTCATTAAAACCAAAATTTTTTTCCTTGGGAGCGCCTTTTGGCTACTCTTTTTGATTTCAATACCAAGGGTTTTTTTTTTTACCCTGCGTAAAATACACACGGGGGTCCCATCTTTTCCCCCCGGACCGGAGAAATTCCCAGAAGTCCCCGGAAAAAAAACCCAGCCCTTTCCCCAAAACCCGAACCCCGGACCCCCAAAATTTGAGACGGACACCAGGGCCCCGAGACCCCCCCAGCCCCCCCCCCACCCCCCCCCCCCCCCCTACTTCAAGTGGCAAAAAAGATCACAAACCACGAGATTTGGAAAGAGCCCAATTACAAAAGTCTTCTTGGGTTAGTCTTTTTTTGGGGGGCTCAGACACCCGGAGAATGGAGGGTGGTAAGTTTCCCCAAGGAATCCTTTTTGTGAATTAAAAATAGGTATAATGTGTTGTTTTAAATGGCTAAAAACTTGGAGCCCCAATAAATGAGATGAAAACTTATACAGGTTTTCGAAAGCAGTCTTACGACGAACTTTGGACCCATCAAAAAATGCAATTTTAGCGGGGGGGGGTTTTTTTTAGAAACCCAAAAACAAAAAATTTACAAATTTTTAAAATCACCATTGACACGGCATCATGAGAGTAATAGACTGAAAAGTAGGGACAAAATTAAAAGAATGTTTAGATGACAGAA